TATTAAAAAAAAAAAAAGAAATTAGGTTACTCAAAGGAATCTTGACCCCAAATCCACTGGTAAATCCAATTATGAATTATTTTAAACAAATATGTGAAGCTGGCCCTAACCTGTTTGGCTCAGTGGATAGAGAATCGGCCTGCAGATTGAGGGGGCCCAGGTTCGATTCCAGTCAAGGGCGTGTACCTTGGTTGCGGGCACATCCCCAGTAGGAGGTGTGCAGGAGGCAGCTGATCGATGTTTCTCGCTCATCAGTTTCTAACTCTCTATTCCTCTCCCTTCCTCTCTGTAAAAAACCAATAAAATGTAAAAAAAAAAAAAAAAGGTGAAGCTGTATCTTTTATAAAATGTTGGTTTCCTCCCAATATATATTATTTGGCAAAATAAAGATGCTAACACTCTGTTAGTCTTCAACATGATTTTGACACTTTACTGGTCTGAGAAATCTGTAGACTTCAGAATTATCGACTGCACAGCTACTCAAGCCACTCCAGATGCCAGAATTCAAAACATTCCGCCTGCCGGCTGAAGTCTCTGAAAATAGCTGGCTAATCTGCATTCCACACTGTCAGGGACATGATTAATTATCTATTTGGATTAGCCAACTGAAGCTATGTTCCCATGTTTCTGTGACACGGTTGCTTAAATTTCTTAGCTTTGGTCGAGAAAGCTACAATACTTTCCCGAATGTTTGTCTTTGCTTTCTTGCAGGGGGGAAAAAACGCAGCCAGGCCATGTGAGCAACACTTTTAGATTTCTCCTTCTGCACTCATCATGCAGGGTCTTAGATTTCTTCAACTTCTAAGGACAAGCTTCCTGTGAGTTCTGGTGTTTTCCAAGGCTGAATACCCTTAATGTGGAAACATGCTCATGTTACACAGCATAGACTTCAATAGAGAGGTTCAGAGAAGTGGACCGTTTAAATCAGATGCTCTTGCTCTCGACTCAGAAAATGAAATTCCACGGAGACACGGCTTGTCAGAGCAGGCTTTGTTCCTTTATAATATTCGTTTTCTTTGATTTCTCTCAAACCAAGAGGGTACTTCAAAAACCATTTGAATAGGGAGGATGGCATTACAAATGAGCTGTGATGATGAGATTTATAAAAAATCTGTCTTGGAAAGTACTGTCAGTTGGAAAGTGATTTCCATGCGGACGGTGCCAAATTCCTTAAACTTAAGCCAACCGAGTATGCCTTATCAATGAAATAATGTTTGTCACTGCAGTAACCAAATAGGCTAGGGTACATTTCATGGGTGATGGTAAACTATGTAACCTCTGACGACTGAAAAATAATTATCACATGCCTCTGTGGTTTCATTTAACCAGATTAATTTGCTTTAGTAATGGAATCATTTAGGCCTAATTAAACCTATCTAGATTATGATTCTAAGGAACAGGTATCTCGTGAGTAATAAATATCTCTAAAATCTGTAATTTTGGAACAACATCACAATTTTACATTTTTAAAGAGCCATTCTAGTCAAGGCCGGTTTGGCTCAGTGGATAGAGCGTCGGCCTGCAGACTGGAGGGTCCTGAGTTCGATTCCGGTCAAGGGCATGTACCTTGGTTGTGGGCACATCCCCAGTAGGGGGTGTGCAGGAGGCAGCTGGTCGATGTTTCTCTCTCATCGATGTTTCTAACTCTCTATCCCTCTCTCTTCCTCTCTGTAAAAAAATCAATAAAATAGCCGAAACCGGTTTGGCTCAGTGGTAGAGCGTTGGTCTGCGGACTGAAAGGTCCCAGGTTCGATTCCAGTCCAAGGGCATGTACATTGGTTGGGGGCACATCCCCGGTAGGGAGTGTACAAGAGGCAGCTGGTCGATGTTTCTCTCTCATCAACGTTTCTAGTTCTCTATATCTCTCCCTTCCTCCTCTTTGTAAAATATCACTAAAATATATTTTAAAAATAATAATAAAAAAATAAAGATATAATTTTAAAAATAAATAAATAAATAAATATATTTTTTAAAAAGAACCATTCTAAGGTAGAAACCAGGCCTTGCTTTAAATACTCTCTCTCTTATCTCCCTGGCCTTTTTCCATCACCAGCCTGGCTGTATGACTGTCAAGGTGGGTGGGATATATGCAATGTTTGACTATGGTAAGAAAAATTACCTAACGCTTGAAAACAAGGCAAAAGGGTGATTGCTTGTCCTTTCAACGTTGGACTAAACTTTATTAAAGGCCTTTATCTCACAGGCCCACCCAAGGATTCTTCGGCTCGCTAGGGGAATGCCCTGCTGCCTGATGAAGGCTCCGACATGTTAGCTTGTCCTGTGCAAGGGAAGGGCTAACCCCAGAGGTTCTGTTTTTTTTTTTTTTTTTTTTTTTTTTTTTTAAATATTTTATTGATTTTTTTTACAGAGAGGAAGAGAGAGGGATAGAGTTAGAAACATCAATGAGAGCCGAAACCGGTTTGGCTCAGTGGTGGAGCGTTGGTCTGCGGACTGAGGGGTCCCGGGTTTGATTCTGGTCAAGGGCATGTACCTTGGTTGCGGGCACATCCCCGGTAGGGGGTGTGCAAGAGGCAGCTGGTCGATGTTTCTCTCTCATCAACATTTCTAGCTCTCTATCTCTCTCCCTTTCTCTCTGTAAAAAATCAATAAAATATATTTTAAAAAAAGAAAAAGAAAAGAAACATCGATGAGAGAGAAACATCAATCAGCTGCCTCCTGCACGCCTCCCACTGGGGATGTGCCCTCAACCAAGGTACACGCCCTTGACCAGAATCAAACCTAGGATCCCTGAGTCGGCAGGCCGTTGCTCTATCCACTGAGCCAAACTGGTTAGAGCATGTGCTCCTCTTTTTGCCAAACACACTCAACAAATGCATCATTGCCTTTTGGTTTCACAAACAGCAGTACTTTTTTTGTGTGTGTGATTTCTGATCTCTGACACATCTGTATGCTTCTTATAAAACTTATGTCTAACAAGATCAAGATGGCTACAGACTCCAGTAGCAAGTATCAGAAGTACAACCACTTGGATTATAGATTTGTTTGTTTGTTTGTTTGTTTTAAATATATTTCATTGATTTTTTACAGAGAGGAAGAGAGAGGGATAGAGAGTTAGAAACATCGATGAGAGAGAACCTTGATCAGCTGCCTCCTGCACACATCCCTCCTACTGGGGATGTGCCCGCAACCAAGGTACACGCCTTTGACCAGAATCAAACCCGGGGCCCTTGAGTCCGCAGGCTGACGCTCTATCCACTGAGCCAAACCGGTTAGGGCAGTGGCTCATCTCTTTATATGTAGATGTTTTCTCATAGTAAAAAAAGTAGACAATTAGGTATTAAAGATAAAAAAACGTCAAGGTGAGAGGCAACAATTGTTTATTTGAGGTCCCAAAAAAATAACTATTCTGGAAGCACTGATTCAGACAGAAACACAAATAGTTTCCAATTAGAAAGTGAAGATGAGGGATATTTATGAGAAAGGAAGGGGAATAATTATATGAATAGAAGGAAGGAATTTCTGTGGGTATTAAGGAAGAATTTCTCTAAGTGCAGATAAGCTAATGGGGAGGAAAAATTATTTCACATACTCTTACCTTATAAGTTCTTCTGGTTAACTAGTAATCCATATCTCTACATATGAAAGGCTAATATGCTAAGTATCCCTCCGACCGTCCGACCATTAGCTATAATGTGCACTGACCACCAGGGAGCAGATGCTCAACGCAGGAGCTGCCATGACACATACTAGCCTTTTACAAAGAAACGGCACCTCAGACCTGGTGCTGACAAAGCAACACTCAGCTTCCCCCAAGGGGGTCACAGGCTCCATCACCACTCTGGAGCAACAGTCCACCAAATCGCAGCCAACGCTGCTGAGATACCATGGTGCAAAATGAGGCACATAGCCCAGCCCAGCCAGGAAACAGTTGCTGTGGGTGCCAGGTAATGATGTCATGTAGCAATGCCCAGCTTCCTCTCCCTAGAGCACATGTGTCAAACACAAGGCCCGCGGGCCAAATCCGTCCCGCCAGGCCTTGCAATGTGGCCCGCACCGCGCTGTCATCACTGCACTCCGCTGCGTTTCCATCACAATGACAGTTTATGACTGTTCAGTAAACCATTCGGCCCGCGATTTAGGCTGGATTTTAGATTTTGGCCCCTTCTCTGATTGAGTTCGACACCCCTACCCTAGAGACTAGCCTCCTTAGAGTTTCTTCAGCCCAGGAACATGACTTTCTTTACAGCCAGGTGCAAACATTTTACACTTTAACCAAATGTTTGTGAAGCATTTTGTGTCTCAAATGAGATGAGACACAAAAATGTTTGTGTCTCATCTCATTTGATCCTCACAGAAATCCTGGAGTAGGTAAATAAGAGACTTGGTAGAATCCTAGTTTCTTTTCATTAGCCGGAAAACGGAGATTTAGAAAGTTTAGAAATTTGACCCGAATGAAAAGAAGAAATGGAAGACCTTGAAAATGACTTCAGGTTTTCTCACTGCCCAGAATATAGTCAAACGCTGCTGCAGTTAAATATTTTACCCTTTGTTCTCCCTGCGTGATCTACAACAATAATCTGCTTTGTGTTGATATTTACTGCTGTGTGGATGACAATTACCTGGAAGAGAAGTTTGGGTGCTTCACTGGGCTGGAAAAAGTTTAGCTGCATCAGAAAGCAGGTCTAATTAAGCAAGTTTATTCTAGATCTATAAAAGGCTAAGTTGACTAGTGCATGTGTGATACATATAACGCTTTCACTGGTGCCAATTGCACACCTGTGTTTTGATTTGACATTGTCGATCGTGAATTTGGTTGACACTTCTATTACAGAAAAAGGGTGAATAGCAATATTAAAATATTTCTTCTAATTAATTTCCTTTCAATATGCATGCATCTGTGCACTGGGCCACTAGTTAATCTTCACTTGACAATATTTTTTCAACTGAGTTTTAGAGTGGAAGGGAAGGAGGGAGAGGGAGAGGGAGAGAGAGGGATCCATGTGAGAGAGACACACTGATTGGATGCCTCCTGTACTCACCCCAACTGTAGTAGGGATTGAACCTTTAACCCAGGTACAACCCTTGACCCTTCGGTGCGCAGGCCTATGCTCCAACCACTGGACCACACTGGCCAGGGCATATTCTTCTTTGTTTTAACAGAAATATTTTCCCATGTTATCATGTGTTCTGTAAAAGCATTTTAAAATGCTATTTATTTGTTTGTTTTTGTAAAAGCAATTTTTAATATTTTGGGCATAATACTGAGTAAAGTTAGTTTAATCTATCCATTCCACTATTTTGGTTGTTGGACAGTTAGGTAGTTTGCTGTTATTCAATAGGGTAAAATACTTTAGAAACATGTCTTTGTAGAAAGCCTAGTATATATTTAGAATGTTTACTTTAGGATAAATTCCCAGAAAATAAATTATGGCCTCAAAGGCCATGGAATTTTTGAGGTTAGTTGATAAAATATTGTAAAATTGCTTTCCAAACTAGTTATATCAATCTACAATGCAATGCGTCATGTCTTATCATGACAAATGATAGGCTATATTAGAACAGCCTCATGGACTGCAGAATAATCTTTTCTAGAGATCTTTAAAAAGAACATAAATTTCTTTCTCTATGTTCCAGGGCAGACTTTCAAAGACATAAAACAGGTTTGCCAACTCTCAATAAAAAGAGAAAAGACATTTAAATTACATACCCTAGCTCAGTGGTCAGCAAACTCATTAGTCAACAGAGCCAAATATCAACAGTACAACGATTGAAATTTCTTTTGAGAGCCACATTTTTTAAACTTAAACTTCTTCTAACGGCACTTCTTCAAAATAGACTCACCCAGGCTGTGGTATTTTGTGGAAGAGCCACACTCAAGGGGCAAAGAGCTGCATGTGGCTCGTGAGCTGCAGCTGGTTTGGCTCAGTGGATAGTGCTTTGGCTTGCGGACTGAAGGGTCCTGGGTTCGATTCAGGTCAAGGGCACATGCTCGGGTTGTGGGCTTGATCCCCAGTAATGGTTATGCAGGAGGCAGCTGATCAATGATTCTCTCTTATCATTGATGTTTCTCTCTCTCCCCCTCTCCCTTCCTCGCTGAAATTAATAAAAATATATTTTTAAAAATTACAAGTAACAGAAAGGTTAACCTGAACATTGTGGTCTTTACCTTCTATCTTAGATTTGGATGGTGACTTTCTTTCCAAGTCAAATGTTCTGACATTATCTCTACACACAAAGTAAGTGTCTATTCTATAGACAGGGAAATACTGAGGCACCAAACATTTTTTTAAGTGACTTTCTTATAGCCATATAATTTATATCAAACTCACATATATGATCCACACCTTGCAGAGAACTCTTTGCAATGTGAGTGAAGTTCAGATTCACCACTGGGGCAGGGACAAATTTTCCTCTACCTTTCTAGGTTCTTCTGGCTGGTCTAAAAATCAAATAGACATAAAAGAGATTAGCAAGAGAAAATTACCAAATTTAATTACATATGTATATATAGTGAACCACACATACATGAGAGGTTCATAGGTAGTAAGGAAAAATGAGGTTTATATGACATTCTCAACCAAAGAGGAGAAAGGTTGATACCGGGATGATATTAGATGTTCAATAATTAGAAGTTTTGCCTTCTGCCTGCCAGCCTGATCACCCCCTAACCACTCCCATGCCAGCCTAATTGATGTCTAACTGCTCCCCTGCCAGCCTGTTTGCCCCTAACTTCCCTCCTCTGCCGGCCTGGCCACCCCTAAGTGCCCTCCCCTGCAGAGTTGATCACCCCCAACTGCCCTCCCTTGCAGGCTTGGTGCCTCTCAACTGCCCTCTATCACTAGGTCATAAAATAATTTCTGGTGATAATGTTTATTACGGGTAAAGGTCCACTTTAAATTCTTTAAGGCAGGGGCAAGTTAATCTTGAGCTCACAGGGTCTTGATTCCCTTCAACTCAAATTAATTCACATGTCACAGTGCTATATCCTGGGGAAGCATGTTCTAAACTCCACCTTCAGACAAACCAAATTAATAAAAATTTTGAAAAATATATATTCCTGTTAATTTCAGAGAGGAAGGGAGAGGGAGACATAAAAACATCAATGATGAGAATCACTGATTGGCTGTCTCTTGCATGCCCCCTACTGGGGGATCAAGCCTGAAACCTGGGCATGTGCCCTGACCAAGAATTGAACCATGAACTCCTGGTTCATAGGTCAACACTTAATCACTGAGCCATGGCTGGGCTAAACAACAATTTTAAAAAATATATATTTTATTGATTTTTTTACAGAGAGGAAGGGAGAGAGATAGAGAGCTAGAAACATCGATGAGAGAGAAACATCGACCAGCTGCCTCTTGCACACCCCCTATTGGGGATGTGCCCACAACCAATGTACATGCCCTTGACCGGAATCAAACCTGGGACCTTTCAGTCCGCAGACCGATGCTCTACCGCTGAGCCAAACTGGTTTTGGCTAAACAACAATTTTTTAAAAAGGGAGTTCCAGGAAGCTACTCCATCTAAGTTCTGTCTTTGCATGAAAGAAAATAGTGTAACATTTAAAGAAGGAATTTCTGCCCTAGCTGGTTTGCTCAATGGATAGAGCGTCAGCCTGCAGACTGAGGAATCCCAGGTTCAATTCTGGCCAAGGGCACATGCCTAGGTTTCAGGCTCGATCCCCAGTAGGGGGCGTACAGGAGGCAGCTGATCAATAATTCTCTCTCATCATTGATGTTTCTCTCTCTCTCTTTCTCTCTCTCTCTTTCTCCCTCTCCTTTCCTCTAAAAATCAATAAAATATATATAAAAAATAAAGGATTTTCTAATAGAAAACAAATGATACATACAAGACAGACTTCAACCTAATACGTTGCAGTTTATAGGGATCAATGCTTCTCCTGAGAAATGGTTGAGATGACTTTAAAATGATAATGATCTGCCCTGAACAGTTTGGATCAGTGGATAGAGCGTCGGCCTGCAGACTGAAAGGTCCCAGGTTCGATTCCGGTCAAGGGCATGTACCTTGGTTGCGGGCAAGTTCCCAGTAGGAGGTGTGCAGGAGGCAGCTGATCGATGTTTCTCTCTCATTGATGTTTCTAGCTCTTTATCCCTCTTCCTTCCTCTCTGTGAGAAAAAAATCAATAAAATAAAAAAGTAAAAAACATGATAATGATCTAGTCTTTTCTTTTTATGCATTCTAACGAATGAAGGATCAGTTTGTATTATATTTTAAACATCAAGGTGCTCAGTGTGGATCAGTTTCTCAACCCTGGCACTATTGGCATTTTTCACCGGATCACTCTTTGTTTTGGGGGGCTACGCATTTAGGGATGATTAGTAGCACTGTCAGCCTTTAATTACTAGATGCCAGCGGCACCCCTGCTGTAACACTCACCAGTGTCTCTACTAGACATTGCCCAATGCTCCCTGGGGGATACAGCCATCCCAGTTGAGAACCACTGGTATGTTACATACGGTATGTTTACGGTCATTCTATTTTTAAAAAAATATTTTATTGATTTTTTTTACAGAGAGGAAGGGAGAGGGATAGAGAATTAGAAACATCAATGAGAGAGAAACATTAATCAGCTGCCTCCTGCACACCCCCTACTGGGGATGTGTCCGCCACCAAGGTACATGCCCTTGTCCGGAATCGAACCTGGGACCCCTGAGTCCATACACCCACCGTCTATCCACTGAGCCAAACTGGCCAGGGCTCGGTAATTCTATTTAATAAGCTCCGGTTATACCAAAATGAATGACAGATAGAAAAGAAGGAACACCTGGACACCAACATTCTTTAACATACACTTTTCATATTAATTTCATTTTTCAATAATATTGTAACATTTTGAGAAAAGTGTATTATCTCTGAAAATCAGTGGGAAAGTAAAATGGACATAAATTGCTAAGCACAGCATATCAAATCTGTAAACCAGATGTGTGACTTCCATATATACTGTAGTCAATATAAATTTTAATGATGAAAGTTTTCTAGCAAAACGGGTTTGTTCATTATGTAGTTACAAATAATAACTACAATATTCACTGAGCAGATAACTATATTTTATCACCAAATGGCCTTTTCTGTCTTAAGTAAAATGCAAGGTCACCAATCTGAGTTTTCTAAGGTATTACGGAAACAATTTCAAAGCTGCTTTGCTTATGAATTCTACTTTCAATCTGGAAGATTCACACAGCATTTCAAATAGGACAACTTAAAACCCTCATTACGATCAGAATGAATGCCACATTTGAATTAAAATTCTTAAGAAAAACCTTCACTAGTAAAGATTGGCAGTTTTATCTTTGCCCTTAAATTTAAGCAATTGCCCTGACCGGTTTGGCTCAATGGGTAGGGCGTCGGCCCGCAGACTGAAGGGTCCTTGGGTTCGATTCCGGTCAAGGGCATGTGGCCTGGTTGCGGGCACATCCCCAGTAGGTGGTGTGCAGGATGCAGCTGAATAGATGTTTCTCTCTCATCGATGTTTCTGGCTATCCCTCTCTCATCCTCTCTGTAAAAAAATCAATAAAATAAGCTTTTAAAAAATTTAAGCCAGTTATTTTTGGATTCTATTCTAATAATCATGTCAATAAATCTGTCTGAATCTTCCTCTACCCCCAACATGTATCTGCACTGTTACAGCATGTCCTTCTTACACAAAAATCAACTCTTTCCGACCTTTGGGGTTTTATCCTGGAGCCTCCATTTATCCCAATGTTATTAGGATTTTCTCATATGCTTCTGCTCAGTAACATGCCCTCCCAACACCTGAGGGAAAATCAGTAAATATTTGGCATAAAACAGTTTTCTCCTGGACTGTATTTAAAAATCTCCTTAGGTCAGTTAAGATACTTTTAGTTGTGAATAGCATTCAACTAAAATCAGGGAGTTTTATGGTCTTACTTTCTTTTTTTTAAAAATAAATTTTGATTTTTTTACAGAGAAGGGAGGGATAGAGAGTTAGAAACATGGATCAGCTGCCTCCTGCACACTCCCTACTGGGGATGTACCTGCAACCAAGGTATGTGTCCTTGATCGGAATCAAACCTAGGACCCTTCACTGCAGGCTGACGCTCTATCCACTGACCACACCGGTCAGGGCAGGAGTTTTATGCCGAACAAGAAGTTGAGAGGTAGGTGGTGATCCCTGGCTCACCAGTGGCATTGGTGAGCCAGACTCTTTTCATCCCTATATGTTGCCAGCCTCAACACACTCACCTTTGTCTGCCGCTTCATGGCTGCGATCAGGCCTCCGCAGCTCCCGGAGCCTATGGAAACGACAGGAAGGAAGAGGTGGGAAAGAAAATTCTTGAATAGCTTGCTTTCATGAGGATGGAAAATCTTTCTAGGAGTGTTGCTGAAAGGCTCATTGACCAGACCTGGGCCCAGGGCCAGCCTACATGCCAGGAGAGTGGGAGAGAGAGTATCTGTTTTTTTTAGCATCTGCTATGGGGAACAGACCTTGCTAGAAGGGAAAGGAGAAAGAGAAATGGCTTTTGGGTAGGTAAACCAAAAGTGCATGTCAACTGCTCCTCAGTCTAAAAATCTGTGGGATTACCAATGTGCTAAGAGCACGCTAATAGCTGCCTCTTCTCGGTATTTCCTGTTTTGATTTGAAAACTTTAAATGAGGTTTAAACTCAGCCAGTTTGGCTCAGTTGGTTAAGCATCATACTGTGCACTGAAAGGTTGCTGGTTCGATCCTATCAGGCCACACATGAAAGGCAATTGATTGATGTTTCTCTCTTACATTGATCTCTCTCCCTTCCTCTCTCTAAGCATGCCTTTGGGTGAGGATTAAAAATAAAATAAAATGAGCTTTAAGAAACCCAATTCAGTATGACAAAAATTTTATACTACATAAAACAAATAGGTTGAGGTTATTAAGTAAGTTGTTAAAATAAAAGCCGGCTTAATTTCTACTTAGTAGGGGTAATCTTTTATTTTTTATTTAAAAATATATATTTTATTGATGTTTTTTACAGAGGAAGGGAGAGGGAGAGTTAGAAACATCGATGAGAAACATCAATCAACTGATGTTTTATACGGAGACATAATTTGCCTAAACTCCCAAAAGCAGCTGTCTTTCAAATCCCTCATTCTTCCACTCATAGAAAGTTATGAAATAAAAAGGTTTTGAAATTGGAAATAGAATGAAATAGAAAATAAAGAAGGTGGAGACGACCAATAAATGCAGAAGCTGGTTCTTTTTTAAAAATCATTTTATTATGAAATAATGTCAAACAAAAGTTTCAAGAGTACAAAGAACTCCCTCAGACCTTTCATCCGGATTCAACAATTGGTACCATTTTGACATATCTGCTTTATTTTCTCTCTGAACCACCTGAGAATAAATTTCAAACATGTCTTTACTTTGTCAGAGAGAAAAAAAAAACAAAAAACTTTCCTCTACCCTCTTAAGTTAGCTCAACAAAAGACAGGTTAGCAAAGAGAAAAAACAGATTGAATTCCATACATGGGACAGAAGTTCACCAAGAAATGTGACTCTAGGAGACCTTAGTATTTGGGGCTTATCTACCATGCTAACAGGGGATGGGGAGAGATATGGTGTCCTTCTAACAG